TGTGTCTTCCTTAGAGAGTTGCCTGTTCAGCTCATTTGCCCATTTTTAAATTGGGATTGTTCAACTTTTGCAGGTGGTTGGCTCGAGTCCCCCACATAGTCAGATTGCCAGTCCCTTATCTGAAACATTGCTTGCAAGTATTCTCTCCCATCATGCAGGTTGTGTCTTCACACTATCATTTTGCTTTGCAGAAGCTTTTCAGTTTGACGCAGTCCCACTTGTGCATTTTTTAGATTATTGCATGTGCCTTAGGGGTATTATTTAAGAAATTGTTCATGTCTCTAGGAGTGTCCCCTGCATCTTCCATCACTAGTTTTATAGTTTGAGGCCTTACATTTAAATCTTCTATCCATTTTGGGTTGATTTTTTTGTAATGGTGAGAGATAGGGATCCATTTCATTTTTCTGCAGGTGGTTACCAAGTTCTCCCAGTACCATTTATTAAAAAGGTTCTCCTTTCTCCACTGCATTCTCTTATGCCTTTTGTCAAAGATCAGTTGGCCATGTTTTGGGGTTACTGGATTCTCTATTCTGTGCCATTGGTCTACATGCCTGTTTTTGTGCCAATACCATGCTGTTTGGAGTATCACAGCTTTGTAATATATCTGGAGGTCAGGTAATGAGAGGCTTCTACTTTATTCTTTTTGAATAGTGTTGTCTTGGCAACACAGAGTCTTATAAATCCAGATAAATGTCATGATTGTTCTTTTAATTTCTGTGAAGGATGTCCTTAGTATTTGATTGAAATAGTATTTAATTCATAAATTAATTTGGTCTCGAAATAAGGAGCTGGAGAGATCTGCAAATCAAAGTACTCACACTGAAAAGCAAAATAAGCTATTCATGTATCTGTGGAGATCACATGGGGAACTCTACACTAGCTTATACTAGCCTGTGTCCCTTACACAATCACATCTCACGAAAGCGAGAACACGCTGTCCCTTCTGGAATACTGGCGTTGCCGACTCTTCCGGACTCGCCTACCGCTGCTTCCATCTGCTGTAAATTAGGTGTTTTTCTTCCTTTAATCAAGACCTTAATCAACCTCTTCTTCTGAAAAATTAGAGGAATGGTTTAGTTTCTCTCTACTGTCCCAGAATTATGGGCTGATTATCATCGATTCACCGGAAACATAAAGCATCACATCGAAATGCATCGTGTTCGGCACTGTGGACAGACCCGGGGAAGTCGTCCGACCTCAGAGCAGCTCGGTTGCTGAGCGGAGTCAGTCAACACCAGTGTTTATCACACTCCCATTGAGGTGACCCATTTCCAGGGAGGATGCGCAGTGCGGTACCAGGACTGCTCAGCCCGGACGGTGTTGCCGTGGCAGACAGCACTCGCCAGAGACCTGGGAAGGCAGGTTTTCCTTTCCTTTAGATGGACCTAGACACAGCACTGCAGGGTCAGCCTGGACTGCCAGGAGCCCCGGGAGCCCCGCTCTCCAGAGACGTATGCAGAGCCCGGTGCGCTGCGAGGTGCACCCTCACTGCCCGGCCCTTCACAGCAGGGTGGGCTCCTCACTCGGCCTGCGTGTGCAGAGGGTGCTACCAGGGCTCGCTCCCACAGCGCGGCGTCAGCACTATGAACACGCTGCAGGGTGGACGAGTGATGTGTGCCTGTGCGTGTGCGAATGAGAGCTGCGTCGCCAATGACGCTGCAGTGAGGCGAGCTCCTTCCAGTCGCGTCAGGCTACAGTGTACTGGCTGCCTGTGGCCTTTGCACCATCCCAAAGTGGAAAGGAATTAACTGTTTGTTGGAGAGGTCTCTAGCTGGGAGGGCAGACCTTCAACATAGTGTCCTTTGAAGTTCGTTTTGAGAAGTAGCACCAGCGGGATTTGCTGCAGTTCTTGGCTACAATGTAGCCCCTTGGCTGGTTAGGGATTTGCTGCAGTTCTTGGCTACAATGTAGCCCCTTGGCTGTAACCAGCCACCAAGGAGGCCTAGGAGCTCCCTCGCTTTGTCCTGGATCGCGAAGTGACCATGTGCTTTCAGGTAGCACTCAGTGAAAGTGGCGGGAATAGAACTGGGCCCTACAGGCGGCTGCACTCCAGCACCTGCCCATCCTGCTGTCCTGCAGAGAGTCAGGAGGGGATGGGGAGGGTCCTCCCTCCTCTCTCTGAGCTCCGCTTTCAGGTGTTACCCTGGCTCTGCTCCTGCCTAGCCTGACTTCCAGGAGAGGGCGTTTGGTGACCCCCATGGGCATCTGCCCTGCTCCTGTGCTGCTTGTCCTGGGACCGCCTCCCAGTCACAGCCCTGCCTGCTCTGCCTCTGCCATGCCAGCCACGGTCCCGGGCCCAGCTTGGCTCGTGCCGGGCCTGACCTTACATGGCTGTGCCGGGCCCTGGGAGGAGCACCCCCACCCCCCAACGGCATTAGCACTCACAATGGACAGCAGACCGCAAGGAGAAGCCTCTTCTAAGTGTTGCTCAAGGATTGGCAGCACCCAGCAGGCCACTTGCTCGGTGACCTCCCTTTTCTCTGCTCACTGCGTCGTGTGCCTGCCATGTGGAACTCCAGGAGTATTGGCTCTTTCCCCTTCACAGTGATACGCGTTGGTAAAACGCACTGTCCAGACGGAGCAGGACAGCAGGTTAATTAGAGTTGTTTTCCCGCAGAGCACGCTCACGTACGAGGGGTCACCGTGTTCGTCCTCAATGTCCTGCCAGTCTTCCACCTTTCAAGGCAGGACAGTGCATTTCCTCGCTGTGTATTCGCCTCCACCAGCTCCTTGGCCTCCGCGGCTGGCAGGTAGGCGCTGGCCGCAGCAGGGGATGCTCCTACGCACCTGCCAGCAGGAACAGCTTCAGAGAGCGGATTGTGCAACGCGCTGTTTCTGACAGCCCTGACCTGCCTCCCAGAACTCGGGGAACATGCCGTGCTTAGCTGGCAGGCGGCAGAAGAGCTGCAAAACAAAATCCCAGGAAAATAACTGGCAATAAATTACGGACGGTTTAAAGCATCTCTCACACCAACTGCTACCCAAACCTGTTTCTGCAGTCCAGCGAGTGCAACGACGGGAATTCTGGAGACTGAAAAGCAGCCAATGAAGGCCCTTAGCTTCAATGAGATCACACTCGCGGCAGATCTCCTAATGTGTGCATGCTGACGTGAGTTCCCAGCTGAACACGTGGGTCGGAGGTAAACAGAGGCGTTATCTACCTAGTCAAAGGGGTTTAATTTTATGACCTAAAAATCTAAAAAGTTCATTTGGAATTTCTTTTGTTGTGTTGTTTTGTTTGCCATAGAACATGTGCACTCACCAGAGGACAGAGAAAGAGAGAGAGAAAGTGAGAGATCACTCCCCAGGAGGGACGGCCATGCCATAATGCCTTCTCCTCCCTTCTCCTCTCAGAACTTTGGTCTCACACACACACACACACACACACACACACACACACACACACACACACGCCTGGTGTGATTTTCAAGCCATCTGGTCCAGGACTTGCCCGTGCTTGGCCATGTGGTAATCCAGTCACCTTAACCACTATGCACCTGCTGACCCCTAAGTTGGAATTTTTGTGTTGCCTATCCCTCAAATTTTAGAAAATTAGACGGAAATCGTGGAGTCCTCCCTCCTCTCTCTGAGCTCCGCTTTCAGGTGTTACCCTGCCTTACTCCCACCTAGCCTGACGACTTCCTCTGTTCCAGGGGAGGACGCCTGGTGGCCCCCATGGGCATCTGTCCTGCTCCTGCGCTGCTTGTCCTGGGGCTGCCTCCCAGTCCCAGCCCTGTGCCTTCTCGAGTGCCTCGGAAACCTCTCTCCTGGCTTCCTTTCCGTCAGAGTCCTGCAAGCACTGAGGCCTCACCCTCCCTGTGAGCGTGCTCACCGTCTCCCTCCACGTGGTGTGTAGCCCTGGCCAGGACGGGGCTGGGAGAGGGGCAGATCCAGACACCCATGCACACACACGCACACGCACACATATGCACACTCACAATGAGCTCTCCTCTGTCTAAGAACCAAATCCTAACTCTAGTAGGTTGTCTCTCACTCACACACATGCATACTTGGACATACACACATGCACACTTGGATATGCACACTCATGCACACACACTCGCACTTTCACACACTAGCACACGCACACCCACACACATGCGCACATGCACCCACTCGTATGTGCATGCTCACACACTAGCACACACACTCGTGCACACTCACACTAGCACTCGCACGCACACACTCACACACACTTGCACACGCACACACACACGCACACTCGTGATGAACAGATCTCCCTCTGCAGAAGGTCCCAGCTAGCCCAGGCGCTCTGTAAGCAGCTCCGTCCCTAAGAAGCCACTAGCCCACAGCCCCCGCATCAGTGCAGTCCTCAACAACGAGGACGCATCCTAGGAAACACGTGAGCAGGACGCGCCCATGTGGTCTGCACCCCAGAATTCGCCTGGGCTTCTTTCTTGCCTCTCCACTCCACCTACTGGCTGTGGCCAGTCTCAGGCTCCCAGAGAAGCGAAGCCGGCCACCCACCCTGGGAGGACTCCGAGGACGGAGCCACACCTCTGTCCCTGCAGAGGGATGCTGGACCCCTGTCTCCGTGAGCTCTGTGACAGTCCCGAGAGGCTCTGATCCGGGTGACTGACCCGCTTCTTTACTCCAAGATTGTTCTGGAAGCCGCATCAGTTTGTCCACGGAGGGCACGGAGTGTGAGCCCCGAGGTCCTGGGTTGCACTCCTCGGAGCCCTCATACTACCGTTCTCAGCCACCTGCTGTGACCTGTGACCCCTCCCCAACCTCACCACACTGCTGCACTCAGAGAGCCACCTTGAATGGCCCGAGAATGTAAAATTATTTTGAAAATTACATTTTTAAATTATTACTTGATTGTCAAAAAATAAATAAGTAAATTTTGGTGGGCGTGCTCAAATCGAATCTGTCCCTTACCCCTGCAGTCCCCCCGAGGACTCCAGGTGTATGTTCCGGGCAATAGTGAGCCACAGAGAGACGGCAGGGTGGTCACTCGAGCCAGACCAGGCTGTGTGCAGACGCCGTGTTTAATAATACTTGGAATGTTTCTAGAAAAAAGGGAAAAGTTGTAGTTTGACATCCTTAAACCCAGCCTGTCGGTCTACGCTGTGGGGACCAGGGCAGGCCGCAGACGCCCGAGGACTACGTAACGGCCATGTCTAGTTCTCCACGGTTCTAGAGGCGGCGGCAGTAAGGGTCACCCGTGTGCGTGATGACTGCCCTCCTGTTAGAACAGCCGGCCGTCACCACGGTAATGGACACAGAGCCACGCCTGCTGGGTTTCCAGTGCGCAGTGCAGCTCAGTGCCGGAGGAGGGTCGAGCGCACGGCCCGGGATCAGGGGTGACTGTAACGTCTCCGTTCTACGCTGAAGCCAGGAACACATTGACATAACAATACCGGAAACACCACGTCAAAGGTGAGCATGAACGAGAGTGGGTTTTCCTCTGTGTCGAGGTGTAGACGGCCGTCTTCTCCGTGGGCTGGAACAGAACAGAAACCCGTCCCTGCAGAAGCACAGCGCAGGCCAGAAACCCACTGCTGACACTCGGAAACTCACATTTTTACGGAAAGATAATGAGCAGAAACAACAAAATGCCTAAATTGTCAGACACTTGAAGAATAGTTGGGATAATAGTTTTTCCTTAAACTATGGCTCTTCTGGCCGAGGTCCTTCACTGTCCCTGGGGCCTCCCTGTCCTTCTTGGTCCCTGTCGCGTTCTGCCCTCCTCAGTTGGCTTCTTTGTTTTAAATAATGGTCCACCTTTTAGAGTTATGTGTATTCGGCACTGTCCAGAATTGTCTCTAAGGCCCGGGCTGGACAGTCATTAAGAGGTAGGGAGGTGGACACCCACTGGGGACCTGGACTGAAGGTGTATTCCCCAAAGAAAAATCGCTCCTTAAAGCAGTTCTGTCTCCACAAGCTCTCATATGAGAAGTGGGTGTGCAGCACGAGAACCGTACCTGCAGAAAGTGAGACAAAGGGGTGCCGAGTAAGGAGACGCCGAACAGGAGCTACCTGGAATTCAATCAAGGATAGTTTCAGTTTTTCCAGTTAGAGAAGCTGAAGACCAGAAACACTATTTTTTTTTAAAGTCATATCCCTAAATTGTGGAGCAACTCAGAATTTCCGATTAGGAGCCCCTTCTGCTGCACCAAGGTGTTGCTAATGTCCCAGACCAACAATTGGTATGTTCTAAAATCTTTTGAATTAAGTTGCCAGAAACATGGCTTGCCATCCTCCCAGGAAGCTCCCTGGCCCGGGCCCCAGAGGGACGCTGGGTGGAAGGGTGTGCCCGCTCCATGCCGCGTCGGGG